CTTGCTCTTTTCGTTCCTTTCACCCTCTCTTTTTTCCCCTTCGTCTTCCTCTTTTTTCTTCCTCCTTCCCTTCCTCCCCACCCCTTCCTTCCTTCCTTCCCTCCCTCCATTACGTCTAGCTGAACCTCTTTTCTCCCTTCCTCCCTCTTCCTTCCTTCCTTCCTTTCCTCCCTCCCTCCATTATATCTAGCTGTACCGTTTCTTCCTCCCTCTTCTTCCTTCCTTCCCTCCCTCCATTACATCTAGCTGAACCTTTTTTCTCTCTCCTTCCTTCCTTCCTTCCTTCCCTCCTTCCTTCCCTCCCTCACTCCATCTAGCTGTACCTTTTTGCTCCCTTCCTCTTCTCCCTTCCTCCCTCCCTCCCTTCCTTCCCTCCATTACATCTAGCTGAACCTCTTTTCTCCCTCCCTCTTCTTCCTTCCTTCCTTCCTTCCTTCCTTCCTTCCTTCCTCCCTCCCTCCCATCCATCATCTGGCACATTGATCTTCCTCCTTCTTTTTTCCTTCTTTACAGAGGTTCCTGAGGATCGAGAGCTCGGGTAAGTAAGCCCCTTTCCGTAGCGCCCCTCCTGCCTCTTGGATCTTCCACCCCTTCTCCCCCACCCTTCTTCCCCCCCTAAAATATTCCCAAATGCTTCTCTTCCGTTGGGGTGTCTAATTCCTTCAATCCCTCATGCCTTTTGGTTCTTCTTAATATTACACAAAATTAATATTCCTTCTTTTTAACCTAACCCTATAAGAACATATCCTCCTGTTCCTTCCGTAAAGCTATGGTGGACTTAAAAATATCATTCCTTTTCCTTTGGGTCGACATGTTTTGAATAATAATGATAATTAACACCAGCACTAAGTGGTTCAGATTTGAATTGTTGCCTTAGACTGAATCATAAGACTGTAGATTCTCCCCACACGTTATAATTCTTGTGTTCTAAATATGGATTTTTCTCAGTTCATGCAGATTAAGCAAGTCTTGGAGAAAAGATTCCCGAACAAACTGGACATTGTAAGTGAGTTGTGGTGGAGCCAATCCAGAAAGTGGGGCGTGTGTGTGGGGGGGAAAAATGGACTCGGTGTAAATCCGTCTGTGGTATTTTAACAGTCCCAAAACATTTCGTTCCTATCCCAAATCCTGACTTGGAAAATCTGAAGTAAACGTTTGCTTGCTTGCTACTTGCTTTCGGTATTTGAAAAGGATTTCAGTATTTGCGTAAGCTGCCCTAAATGAATTATTAGAATCAAATGGCTGTCCAGTTTCTTCTTAAAAACCTTCTTCTTTGGAAGGAAGGAAGGAAGGAAGGAAGGGAGGGAGGAAGGAAGGAAGGAAGGAAGGAAGGAAGGAAGGAAGGAAGGAAGGAAGGAGTTGGAAGGGACCTTGGAGGTCTTCTAGTCCAACCCCCGGCTCAAGCAGGCGATCTTATCCCACTTCAGTGGCTGTCCAGTTTCTTCTTAAAAACCTCCTGTGATGGAGCACCCACAAGAGCCTTGGTAGTACAGGGGTTTAAGGCACCCTGTTATTAAGCTGGTTATTAAAACCAGCTGCCTGCAATTACTGCAGGGTTCAAATCTCGCCAAGGCTCAAGGTTGACTCAGCCTTCCATCCTTTCTAAGGTAGGTAAATTGAGGACCCAGTTTGTGGGGGCAATAAGCTGACTTTGTATAAATATACAAAAGGTTGAAGGCTATTGCTTAACGCATTGTAAGCCGCCCTGAGTCTTCGGAGAAGGGCGGCATATAAATCAAAATTAAAAAAAAAAAAAATTCTGGTGGCAAGCTGTTCCACTGGTGAATTATCCTCACTGTTAGGAAGTTTCTCCTTAATTCTATGTAATTCTATGTTGCTTCTCTCCAAAATTAATTTCCATCCATTGTTTCTTGTCTGGCCTCCTGGTGCTTTGGAAAATAAATTGACCCCTTCCTCTTGTGGGGCACCCCTTAAATATTGGAAGGCTGCTATCATGTCCGTCCGTCCCCCCAATCCTTTTTTTCTCTAGACTGGCCATGCCCAGTTCCTGCAACTGTTCTTCATATGTTTTAGTCTCCGGGCCTTTTAAAATCATCTTCTCTGCCCCTTTTTCCAAAAGTCTCAACTTACAACAAAGTTATAACGGTACGTATATATTTTTCCTCTCCAGACGGCGGAAATTGGTGAGAGTGGGACCTTTGAAGTGATTCTGCCAGAATCCGATATCGTTTTGCATTCCAAGAAGGTGAGAAGGGTTTTTTTTTTTTCCCGAGTTTGGAAAATGGGATTTTGTGGGCCAAAGCAGGTAACGTCATCAGTGTTAGAAGGGAGTGGGGTTTGTGGAGAGGAGAAGGAAGAATGTGGGTTCCTTGATGCTATCTGAGCTTGGTTGTTTTCTTCAGACATTTTATTACCCAACTAGGTAACGTCATCAGAGTTAGAAGGGAGGGGAGTTTGTGGAGTGGAGGAGGGAGGAGGAGGAGGAGGAGAAAGAGAAGGAGGAGGAAGAGGAAGAGGAGGAATAATATGAGTTCCTTGGTGCTTTCTGAGCTTGTTTTCTTGCAAACATCTCATTACCCAACAAGGTAACTGCATCAGTGCTGGAAGGGAGGGAAGGTTTGCAGAGAGGAGGAGGAATAACAGAACAATAGACTCGGAAGGGAACTTGGAGGTCTTGGTCAAACCCCCTGCTCAAGCAAAAAACCCGAGTTCATAACCCATGTAGGTCACACCATCCGTTCTTGAAAAAAAAAAAAATTGGGATTTGCTCTCTTTTTTTATATACACGTGTCTCCTAATCCAGGAACTTCCAAGAACACTCCCATCAACCCTGACAGATTGTCCCATCATGGGTATATACACCAAACTGGAATCTTTCCAAACTTTACAATCATGGTTTTCAGCGGGATATATATATATATATATATATATATATATATATATTTGTTTTCTCAGGTTTTCGCGGGTGTTTGTATGTAGGTCTTTGGTTATTCGGGTCTTCTCCCACGTAAAATTGGAAGTGTCTTGGCGACGTTTCGACGAAGTCTCATTCGTCATCTTCAGGCTGGTGTTCTCGGCTTCGTGCTTCCAGGAGCAAATATATATATATATATATATATATATGATGGTTTGTTTAAGGAAGCTTGGCTGTTTGCCCCACCCTTCCTTCCCATACGGAGGCCTTGACATTCCCGACACAATTCTGGGACTGGCTGATCTCAGAAGTGTCCAGACTTGAGGTTGGAAGCGATTGGGGTGGGATTCAGCCGTTCGGATGCTAATTTTACTCTGGTTCGTCGAACCGGTAGTTGCAAAGACTGGCTGGCCCCGCCCACCGAGCCCCTCCCCTCCCAGGAGTCTCTACGTGGCCCGTTTTGGATGCCAGGTAAGTACAGGGCGTGGAAGCTCTGGGAGGGCGAAAAACGGGCCTCCCGGAAGTCTGGAAAAGGGCCCGTTTCCAGCCTCCGGAGCCCGGAGAGGGCCGTTTTCGTCCTCCTGGAGGCTCAAGAAAAGCCTCCGGAGCCTGGGGAGGGCGAAAAGGCCCCTCCCCCCGGTGCAGGAGGCTGAGTAGGCCACATCCACCATGGCCACGCCCACACACCAACTGGGTTGCTAAAATTTTTGAATCCCACGCCTGGAAGCGATGAAGGGCGCGGACAATTTGTGGGAGGGGAAAAAAAATAAGCTCCGCCTTTCCTTGTCCCCCCCCCAGGATGGCGCCGGCTACGTGGACACCGAGGAGAAGATAAAAGCCATCTGCGAAGGCATCAAGAAGCAGCTGAGGGCCAAGACTCCCAAGAGCAAAGTGGTGACCAAGAAATTCTTGAAGAAGCTAGAACAGGGCCATGCTAGCCAGAAACTGGAAGCGAAACCGGAAGCGAAGCCGCAAGCGAAGGCAGAAGCGAAACTGGAAGCCATTCCAGAACTGAAAACAGAAGTGGAGCCGGAAGTGAAAGAACCACCGCTGACGGATTTGACATCTTCTCCAGAGGTGGAGAAGAAAACAGAAGGACTCGCCTTGACCAAAACCACCAATGAGTTAGAGGCCACCACTCCCAGGTACGAAGGAGGAGGTGGGGCCAAGGACCATCAGGGGAGGGGCCTTTTCACCCTCCCCAGGCTCCGGAGGCTTTTCTTGAGCCTCCAGGAGGCCGAAACAGCCTCCCCAGGCTCCGGAGGCTTTTCTTGAGCCTCCAGGAGGCCGAAAACGGCCTCCCCAGGCTCCGGAGGCTTTTCTTGAGCCTCCAGGAGGGCAAAAACAGCCTCCCCTGAGTTCCAGAGGCCCTCCGAAGGCCTTCCCCCCTCCCCCAAATTGAGGGGGGGAGGGGAGGGTTTGGAAATGAATGTCTTGTTCCTGCAGGACGTGAAAATCTCGGAGGGCAGATCATGACGGGGTCATCCGAAAGGAGGAAGACGCCTGGATGATTCCCCGATGTCGCTCTGTCTCCTAATTTCGCATTCTCGCTGCGGATGACGCGCTGTGAAAGAAAACAGGAAAAAAAATCCTTTCGATTTAATCTCTCTTCCATGGGTTTTGATTTCATTTCTTTTGGGGGAGCAGGGAGGAGGAGGAGGAGGAATGCAATTAAGTCTCGTTTTGGTGCCTGGGATCAACCCCTTTGGAAAAGAAGAGAAATAAAAGGGAGGGAGGGGAAGGGAAAGGAAAGAAAAGGAAGGGAAGATAGAAGGGAAGGGGAAAAGGGGAGGGAGGGAAGGAAGGAAGGTTTGAGGGAGGGAGGGAGGGAAGGAAGAAACAAAGGAAGGTGAGAGGGAGGGAGGAAAGGAAGGAAGGTGAGAGGAAGGGAGGGAGAGATGGAGGGAGGAAGGAAGGTGAGAGGGAGGGAGGGAAGAAGGGAAGGTGAGAGGAAGGGAGGGAGGGAGGGAAGGAAAGGAGAGATGGAGGGAGGGAAGGAAGAAAGGAAGGGAGGGAGGGAGGCAGGGAAGGAAGGAAGGAAGGAAGGAAGGAAGGAAGGAAGGAAGGAAGGAAGGAAGGGAGAGTGAGAGTATTAGGCCAGCCCAACCAGTTAGACCAGACAGGATTCATGACCAGATGAGCGAAATCTACTTTATTGTGAATCTCGGTTAACACAATTGTGAGTCTGAAAGTACAACTCTCTCGCTAAGAAATTAGGGAAGATCCCATCTGGGCTTTTTTCTCCCACTCATTATGTAGCTGAGGGCTCAGCTGCCTCTTATCTAACTCTTCCGTGAGCCCCATCTCTTCCCCACATACTGCTAAAACTTACAGAACTAAACTCAGTTAAAACACGGTTACCCACATAAATGCCAGTTTGGTGACTTCATCATTCATTCATTCATTCATTCATTCATTCATTCATTCATTTCATTCATTTGTTCGTTCATTCAATCGTTTGTTCGTTCATTTGTTCATTCATTCATTCATTCGACTTCTTAACTGTTTATCTATGGTAGTAGACGGTTGTACACGATTCTCTTCTCTTCTCTTCTCTTCTCTTCTCTTCTCTTCTCTTCTCTTCTCTTCTCTTCTCTTCTCTTCTCTTCTCCTCTCCTCTCCTCTCCTCTCCTCTCCTCTCTCCCCTCCCCTCCCCTCCCCTCCCCTCTTTCATACACAGGTCTCAAACTCCAGCATCTCTGCAGGATTTGGACACAGCTGCCTCTTAAGGGGGCCCTGGCCGGACTCTTCCCACCGTTCCTTATTTGGGTCCATCCCCAAGTTCGGTTCCACCGTGACGGCGTGGATGCCGTGTTCGCAGAACACTTGCTTGACCCTCTGAATCACCGGCTCAAAAGACGCCACGTCGAGACAGACCACGTGGGCCGTGGCCACCAAACGGCTGCAGCCGTCCAGCTGCCAGATCCGGAGCTCCCGCACGGCGGCCACCCCTTCCGTGGCGTGGAGGTGTCTCTCCAGGAGCCACAGATCCAGATCTTCCGGCATGGCTTGGAGGAGGACCAGGGCTGAGGCCCGCAAGGTAGGCCAGATCAAACCCAGGAAGGCCACGGCGACCAGCATAGCCAGCCCGGGATCCAAGTAGAGCAGCCAACAATCCACAGACAGCGGTGGCAGGACGTCAGACGTTCCCCAGGATTGACAGGGGTTCTTTGGGCAGGGATCGAGACACGTCGCGTCGTGTCCCAGGCATGGAGTCCACCAGAGGTGGATCGTGAGAGAATGCAGGAAAACCGCCACAGGTCCAAAACAAGCCACCATCCATCCGAGATAAAGAGTCCGCCACGGTCCTGCAGCCGACGCAGTATTTCCCTCCTTCTCTTTGACCAACCAAGGTTGACTGTTGGTTGACGATCCGTGGCCCAGAAGATCTATTTGAGGAAGAGAATCAAGATTGAAGCCAGCTTGGGAGAATTTCATGCAGGGCCAAGATGATAAAATCCTGAATTTAAGTCCCTGATCGCACACGTCCTGGGCCACGATCACCTCTCAGGCTGGTGAACGCGACAGGCCGTCCTCGACTTACAACTACAATTGATCCCAGCGTTTCTGTTGCTAAGCGAGATGGTTGTCGAGTGAGTTTTGCCCCGTTTTACGACCTTCCTTAATTTAAGCCACGCGGTTGCGTAACGAGTTGGGATTCCCCGCTGACTTCGCTTGTCGGAAGGTCACAAAAAGGGGATCATGCGACCATCACGAATGTGAGTCGCCTGCCAAGGATCTGAATTCGGATCCCCTGACCACGGGGACGCTGCTTACGACGATCCGTTTAGTGACCGTTCGGTGTTACAAGGCAGGACAAAAGGGAATTACGACCGTGCTTCTCACTGAACAACCGTCGCCCCACATGGGAAGAGTCACCGAACAGCCGTGTTCCTGCAGTGACTCCCTTAACAACGGTGGCCAGGAAGGTCGTAAAATGGGGTAAAACCAGGGATGAAATCCAGCAGGTTCTGGAGAACCGGTAGCGGAAATTTTGAGTAGTTCAGAAAACCGGCAAAAGCCACCTCAGGCTGGCCCCAGGAGTGGGGAGGGAATGGGAATTTTGTAATATCCTTCCCCCAGGAGTGGGGAGGGAATGAGGATTTTGTAATATCCTTCCCCCAGGAGTGGGGAGGGAATGGGGATTTTGCAGTATCCTTCCCCTGCCATGCCCACCAAGCCACGCCCACAGAACCAGTAGTAAAAAAAAAATTGAATTTCACCACTGGGCAAAACTCACTTAGCACCACAAATTTTGGGGCTCAACTGTGCCTGTAAAATCTGGAATTAAATGCAATTTTTCCACTGAGCCAAAAAAGAATGACTCCTTCTACCGCCAATCCCCCCCCCAATTTAAAATTAAACTTTTAGTCTTCGCAGGGCATCTGTTAAGAGCATCACAATTTAGTATTTTTTTAAAAAAAACATTAAAGACACATCTGGGCATGCTTCGTCTCTTGCACACCGATGCCAACTTACCTTCCGTTTCCTGCTTTGCCGTTGGCACCGGCCTGTGTCTGCTACAGCAGGGACCGACGTCCATCTTAGCGGGCGCTTTCCAGGGCAAACCTTCCCTAGCCAGATGGATGGGGATGGCCAGCGCCCCCATGCCCATCAGCGCCAGCGGGTGCTGGGTAAGCTGGGGCTCTGCCAATCTCCGAAGACCCTCGGCCACCAGAGCCACGCACAACGCGCTGAGCAACACGCCGCTGACCAGAGTCCCGGCGACGGGGGCTCGCGACCACCCAAAGGTATTCTTCCAGCTGGCGTAAGTGCCTTCCGTGCCAAGCCGGGCGTCCATCACGCGGACCGTCAAGGCCAGGGCGCCTTCCAAGGTGTGGAAAGCACAGGTCTGCAGAAGAAGCGAGGCCGTCACGCGGCTACCCACCATCTCCGCCAGGAAGAGAGCGACCAACAGGTAGAGCTGACCCATCGGGAAGTCTGGGCTTCCCACCAGCCACGAAGGCAGGAAGGCGAGCGGCGTCCCCGATGCCTTTCTCAAGTGGGGTGCCATCTGCAATCTTCGGCCAGGACAATTTCGTGCCCCGCCAACCTAGCTCTTGTCTCTCCACAGCAATGCCAGGTTTTCAACCTTGATGCCCAGCCATTGAGTTCCTCCTGGGCCTTTCCTGCCCCCTTCTTATCAACGCCTGTGGGCCTCTTAGCTCTGCTGTGGGTCTCTCCCCCATCCCTCCCGGCGGCTGATTCCCAGGAGGATTTCATCGGCAGCTGTCGGGGGAGTTTGGCAGAAGCCGTGAGCCATGGCACGCCGCCTGGGCCTTCCAAAGAGGCCATTCTTTTCGATTTCCCCCTCTTTTTCTTGGACCCGTGCCCGGTCGTCCACCAGCTGCAGAAGGACAGCCAAGGTTATAAGTATGCATGGGAGTCTTGCTAGGAAAGGAACAGGGAGCTCCAACGCGATGGGGCAGGGAGGGGGGGCAGTTGCTAGTCGATTACGGCATCCAGTTTTTGGGTGTATAGCATCTACACATTTCAGGCGGTCGCCGAGACACCAACGTTAACAACAGGAAAAACAGAGCTGGAAGGGACCTTGGAAGTCATCCAGTCCAACCCCCTGCTTAGGCAGGAAACCCTACACCACTTCAGACAAAGGATTATCCAACATCTTCTTAAAAACTTCCAATGTTGGAGCATTTCACAACTTCTGGAGGCAAGTTGTTCCGCCGGGGAATTGTTCTCACTGTCAGGAAATTTTCTCCTTAGTTCCAGGTTGCTTCTCTCCTTGATTAGTTTCCACCCGTTGCTTCTTGTCTTCTGGTAAATAGGTGGATCCCCCCCCCTCTGTGGCAGTTCCTTAGATACCGGATATCTAATATGTAATAAAAACACATTATACTGAGGTTACCGGTGGCACAGTACTGGAAGAAGGACGATCCACCCGCCATTGAGGAATGGATATTGAAAGTTGTGCATCTGGCTGAGATGGCAAAAATTTCATCGTATCTTAAAGATCATTCGAATGAAAGATGCATATAATAATAATAATAATAATAATAATAATAATAATAATAATAATAATAATAATAATAATAATAATAATAATTTTATTTCTATACCGCCCTTCTCCCGAAGGACTCAGGGCGGTGTACAGCCTATTAAAAACACAGAACAAAACAACAATTAAAATTTAAAATCATTAAATAATTAGGCTCCAATTAAAATCCCAGAAATTTAAAATACCCCAATTTAAAATCATTATGTTAATAGCCCGGCCTGGCGGAACAACAGAATGGAGAAGATGGATTGACGATATGCAAAAAAAAGTATCCGAACAAGAAGATTCATATAGCTTATGAATGAAATATTTTTAAGTAGTTTATGTTTATAGCTCTTGAGTTATAAGGAGTTAAAGATTTAGGGAGAATATGAAGGCAATAATTTGTTGGCATATCTTAGCTTTTATGTTTGTGAATGCTATACCCTGTGCCTGTTCTGGAAGTCTAGGGAGGGGGGGGGGGGAAAGGGGGGGGAGGGGGAAAGGGTGGGGTGGGGAAAATGTTTGTATTTCTTATAAAACTTTTTAATTCAAAAAAAAAAACCACATTATACGTAAAAAAACACATATACATTTCAATAAAACGTCTGTCTGTCTATATCAGGGGACGGCAACCTTAAGCACTCAAAGAGCCGCAAAAGTCCTAACCGGAAGCTCCCCCCGTTCAATTCTGGAGCTGAGAGGAAGTCCAGTTCCCCCACCATGAGAGTCTCCTCCTAGTGCGGCATCCTTTTTCCTCTACCTGTCCTAACCAAAAGCCCTATCGATTATGGAGCTGACCAGCGACAGGGAACTGCAGCAGAGGGATGAAAGAGCCACATGCGGCTCCAGAGCTGCGGGTTGCCGACTCCTTGTCTATATCTACCTATCTCTCTCCATCCATCCATCCCAGTGGTAGGATTCAATGGGTGTAATAACCGGTTTGCTGATCAATGGCACTGACCAAAGGGAATTATGACCGTGTTTCTCACTGAACGACCGTTTTTATTTATTTATTTATTTATTTTTTAATTTGATTTATATGCCGCCCTTCTCCGGAGACTCAGGGCGGCTTACAATGCGCTCAGCAATAGCCTTCATCCTTTTGTATATTTTATACAAAGTCAGCTTATTGCCCCCCACAAACCGGGTCCTCAATTTACCTACCTTAGAAAGGATGGAAGGCTGAGTCAACCTTGAGCCTTGGAGAGATTCGAACCCTGCAGTAATTGCAGGCAGCTGGTCTTAATAACCAGCTTAATAACAGGGTGCCTTAGACCACTGTACTACCAAGGCAGAGTCACCGACCAACTATGTTTCTGCAGTGACTCCCTTAACAACGGTGGCCAGGAGGGTCGTAAAACGGAGCGCGGTCCATTAGAAGCAGTGTTAAAAGCATTAAAAACTCCGGAGGCGCGGCAATCCGCTCTGCCGCACCTATCGGCTGGGCTTTAAATGAACGAAATAAAGGTAGATAAAGCTCAGAGGCGGGCGGGCCAGCCCAGCTGGCAGTTGCAGCGAACCGGTTCGTTCGAACTGGACCGAATAGGCTGAATCCCACCCCTGATCCATCCATCCGTCTATGTATCTATCTAATCTATCATCTACCTATCTTTCTATCGACATCTCTCTCTCTTTATCTCTCTCTCTCTCTCTCTTTCTCTCCCCCGTTTTCCCGAAAATAAGACATCCCCTGATAAGAAGCCCAATCGGGCTTTTGAGCGCACGTACTAAAATAAGCCTCCCCCTCCGAAAATAAGCCCTCCCCGAAAATATTTAAACGTAGAGCTGGAAATCGGGTAAGACGGCAAGAGGAGCCCCATCTTGCTCCATGCGCCCCAAAATAATAAGACCTCCCCGAAAATAAGGCCAAGTGCTTATTTCGGGGTTCAAAAAAATATAAGACAGGGTCTTATTTTCAGGGAAACATGGTATCTATCTATCTATCTATCTATCTATCTATCTATCATCTATCTATCATCTAATCTATCTGTCTAACTATCTATTTTATCATCTAATCTAATCTATCTATCTCTCTTATCATCTATCTACATCTACATCTGTCTTCTGTGTGTGTGTGTCTGTCTGTCTATGTCTGTCTGTCTGTCTATCTATCATCTATTAAGTATGTTGACTATACAATATCTATCTATCTATCTATCTATCTATCTATCTATCTATCTATCTATCTATCTATCTATCTATCTACATCTGTCTCCTGTGTGTGTCTATGACTGTTTGTCTATCTATCATCTATTAAATATGTTGACTATACAATATCTATCTTATCTATTCTTTCTATCTATGTATCTATCTATCTATCTACATCTACATCTGTCTTCTGTGTCTGTCTGTCTGTCTATGTCTGTTTGTCTATCTATCTATCTATCTATCTATCTATCTATCTTTCCAGCTACATCTAAATCTGTCTTCTGTGTGTGTGTGTCTGTCTGTCTGTTTGTCTGTCTGTCTATCTATCATCTATTAAGTATGTTGACTATACAATATCTATCCATCCATCCATCTATCTATATCTATCTTTCTTTCTTTCTATCTATCTATCTATCTATATCTGTCTCCTGTGTGTGTCTGTCTATGTCTGTTTGTCTGTCTGTCTGTCTAGCTATCATCTATTAATTATGTTGATTATACAATATCTATCTATCTATCTATCTATCTATCATCTATCTATCTATCTATCTATCTATCTATCTATCTATCTACACCTACATCTGTCTTCTGTGTGTGTCTGTCTGTCTATGTCTGTTTGTCTGTCTGTCTCTCTATCTATCTATCAATCATCTATTAAGTATGTTGACTATACAATATACGTGTATCGTGGTGGTAATCCGGACAGACAATAAACCAGATAAAATTTAAAATAAGAGTTCAAATACATTTACAAAACAAGCTCCAATCTGTGAGTGAGATCCAAGGTTCAGCCTGTCATAAATGATCGGGCCGACACACTAAAATCCCACTAAATAAGACAACCTCCGAAAGCCAACGCATCTAAGACTATTAAGATGTAGAGTAAGGGATAAGTGGCCCATCAGGATTCATGGATCTTCTTTGGACCAGACCAGTCCGTGTCAAAAGGCAGCCTGTGTGGGAGGTTTTGTGTGTGTGTGTGTATGTTGTGTATGTGTTTGTGTGTGCCAGGCCAGGGAGGAGGAGCTGGGCAAAGGGCCAGGGGGGCCCTAAAGAGCTGGGAAAGGCTGGAGCAGCTGAACTGGAAGGGATTTGCTGGCCCCGAATTCACCTTTTCACAATCAAAGACTCCGATTGTTTATTTGGATGAGTCAGACATGTACCAGGGCTGGACAGAGAACAGCTGAACAGACCTCCATTCAAGGACACGGAAAAATTTAACTCTTTGCTGGGGCGACACCACAAGTAACAATTGAGCAGCATTTGCCAAAAAGGCATTAAGAGTTGTTAACCTAATCTTGCGAAGCTTCTTCTCGGGTAACGTTGTCCTGCAAACGAGGGCCTGCAAAACCTTTGCCAGACCAGTTCTTGAATACAGCGCGTCTGTACGGTTGAGCGAGTCCAGAGGTATTTCACGAGAAGAGTCCTCCACTCCTCTGCTTACAACAGAATACCTAAGGCCACCAGGCTTGAAATTTTGCTATTCTATTCTATTCTATTCTATTCTATTCTATTCTATTCTATTCTATTCTATTCTATTCTATTCTATTCTATTCTATTCTATTCTATTCTATTCTATTCTATTCTTCCCCTTCCCCCTCTCCTCCCCTGCCCCCAGAAGTGGTCCCACTGGAAATAATTTGTCACACCTAACACAAGGGGATGAACTCAGCAATGCTGCAACGGAGAAGTGGAATAGTGTAAGGTTTTTGGTTCCACGGGCAGCTTCTTTTTGAGCCATTATTATTATTATTGCTGTTGTTGGTTCTTCTTCTTCTTCTTCTCCTCCTCTTCCTCCTCCTCCTGATTCTTATTCCTCCTCCTCCTCTTCTTCTTGTTTTTCATGTCCTCCTCCTCCTCCCATTCTTCTTCTTCTCCTCCTCCTGATTATTCCTCCTCCTCTTTTTTCTTCTTCTTGTCCTCCTCCTCCTCCTGATTCTTATTCCTCCTCCTCCTCCTCCTCCTCCTCCTCCTCCTCCTCCTCCTCCTCCTCCTCCTCCTCCTCTTCTTCTTCTTCTTCTTCTTCTTCTTCTTCTTCTTCTTCTTCTTCTTCTTCTTCTTCTCCTCCTCCTCCTCCTCCTCCTCCTCCTCCTCCTCCTGATTCTTATTCCTCCTCTTTTTTCTTCTTCTTCTCCTCCTCCTCCTCCTCCTCCTCCTCCTCCTCCTCCTCCTCCTCCTCTTCTTCTTCTTCTTCTTCTTCTTCTTCTTCTTCTTCTCCTCCTCCTCCTCCTCCTGATTCTTATTCCTCCTCCTCCTCCTCTTCTTCTTGTCCTCCTCCTCCTCCTCCTGATTCTTATTCCTCCTCCCCTCCTCCTCCTCCTCCTCCTCCTCCTCTTCTTCTTGTCCTCCTCCTCCTCCTGAGTCTTATTCCTCCTCCTCCTTCTCCTCTTCTTCTCCTCCTCCTCCTGATTCTTATTCCTCCTCCTCCTCCTCCTCTTCTTCTTGTCCTCCTCCTCCTCCTCCTCCTGATTCTTATTCCTCTTCTTCTCCTCCTCCTCCTGATTCTTATTCCTCCTCCTCCCTTCTTCTTCTTTTCCTCCTCCTCCTCCTTTCTATTTCTATTATTGTTATTATTATTATTAATTTCCAGAATCCCCCAGCCAGCCTTCTTTCAGATGAGTGGACGTCCACTCCCCATCAGAATTCCCCATCCTAGCTGGGGAATCCTGGGAGTCGAAGAGCTCCAACCCATCTTTACCACGGCTGAAGATGACAAACCAAACCCCAAATCTAGGGCGTGCTGCTGCTGCTGCTGCTGCTGCGCTCCCACAAATCCCCCCCCCAATTCAGCCAATCGTAGCTTGTTGCGCGTCGTGCAAAAAAAAATATATAAAAGTTTCCTTTAAACTTTAAAGGCGAAAAGCGAGCGACCTCCAGCAGCCACGAGGGGGCAGCAAAGAGAAAGCGAAAGCTCGGAGGGCTGGGCGGGGCTCGGCGGGGCGGAGCGAGGAGGAAGAAAGAAACACCCCCCCCCGCCCTCCTTTGGCCCTCCGCGGCCACCGTCCGCTCTTCCGGCATCCGGCCCACGTGACCCAAACAGCGGCCTCGCGCTTCCGGTTTTGCCCGCCTGCCTTTCCTCCCTCTTTTCCTCGCCCGCCGCTTCCCGCTTCTTCGCCGGAGCCGCCGGTGAGGGCTCCCCTTCCGCCTGGGGAGGCAGGCTGGGCTCGCGTGGGCCCCGGGTGTGGGTGTTTGGGGGGGGGCTCTCCTCGAAGGCCCGGACTACAAAGCCCATCATCCCCCGCCGCGGCTCTGTGTGGGTTTTTTTTTTGGGGGGGTCCATTAATTCCTGACCCATAATCCCCCGCCCAGCTCTCCTTCCACGTGGGGTGGGACGACGGTCTTTGCCTTCCCTGCCCCCCCTCCTTCAAACATTGGGATGGACTACAAAGCCCATCACCCCAATCTACACTGGGGGGGGGGCTTCCTATCTGCCTACCGCCCCCTCCTCCTCCTCCCCCCCCCGGCTTGGTGGTGATTTATCCATTTATCCCTCCCAGGCGTCTTGGTTTCTCCCCCCCCCATCCCATTGGGCTGTGGATCACAAGGCCTATCCTCCCCCGCCGCGGCTAATGGGTGCCTGGCCCGACCCATAATCCCCTGCCCAGGCGGGCTCATCCCACCTCCCTCCTTCCACGTGGGTGGGACGACGGTCTTGCCTTCCCCACCCACCCCAATCCTCCTCCTCCAAAAATTGGGATGGACTACAAAGCCCATCACCCCCAATCTGCAGCCCCCACCCCTTCCTATCTATTATCCCCCATTGGGCTGGATAAACTCCCCCTCACATCCCTCCCAGGCGTCTTGGTTCTCCCCCCCATCCCATTGGGCTGTGGATCACAAGGCCCATCCTCCCCTGCCGCGGCTAATGGGTGCCTGACCCGACCCATAATCCCCCACCCAGGCAGGCTCATCCCACCTCCCTCCTTCCACGTGGGGTGGGACGACGGTCTTGCCTTCCCACCCCCCCAATCCTCCAAAAATCGGGATGGACTACAAAGCCCATCACCCCCAATCTGCAGCCCCCACCCCTTCCTATCTATTGTCCCCCATTGGGCTGGATAAACTCCCCCTCACATCCCTCCCAGGCGTCTTGGTTCTCCCCCCCATCCCATTGGGCTGTGGATCACAAGGCCCATCCTCCCCCGCCGCGGCTAGTGGGTGCCTGACCTGACCCATAATCCCCCACCCAGGCAGGCTCATCCCACCTCCCTCCTTCCACCTGGGTGGGACGACGGTCTTGCCTTCCCCACCACCCCCCAATCCTCCTCCAAAAATTGGGATGGACTACAAAGCCCATCACCCCCAATCTGCAGCCCCCACCCCTTCCTATCTATTATCCCCCATTGGGCTGGATAAACTCCCCCCCCCCACACCCCTCCCAGGCGTCTTGGTTCTCCCCCCCATCCCATTGGGCTGTGGATCACAAGGCCCATCCTCCCCTGCCGCGGCTAATGGGTGCCTGACCCGACCCATAATCCCCCACCCAGGCAGGCTCATCCCACCTCCCTCCTTCCACGTGGGGTGGGACGACGGTCTTGCCTTCCCCACCCCCACAATCCTCCAAAAATTGGGATGGACTACAAAGCCCATCACCCCCAATCTGCAGCCCCCACCCCTTCCTATCTATTATCCCCCATTGGGCTGGATAAACTCCCCCCCCACACCCCTCCCAGGCGTCTTGGTTCTCCCCCCCCCATCCCATTGGGCTGCGGATCACAAGGCCCATCCTCCCCCGCCGCAGCTGGGGGCCAACCCATAATCCCCTGCCCAGGCGGGCTCATCCCACCTCCCTCCTTCCACGTGGGGTGGGACGACGGTCTTGCCTTCTCCACCCCCCCAATCCTCCAAAAATCGGGATGGACTACAAAGCCCATCACCCCCAATCTGCAGCCCCCACCCCTTCCTATCTATTATCCCCCATTGGGCTGGATAAACTCCCCCTCACATCCCTCCCAGGCGTCTTGGTTCTCCCCCCCATCCCATTGGGCTGTGGATCACAAGGCCCATCCTCCCCCGCCGCGGCTAGTGGGTGCCTGACCTGACCCATAATCCCCTGCCCAGGCGGGATCATCCCACTTTCCTCCTTCCACGTGGGGTGGGATGACGGTCTTGCCTTCCCCACCCACCACAATCCTCCAAAAATCGGGATGGACTACAAAGCCCATCACCCCCAATCTGCAGCCCCCACCCCTTCCTATCTATTATCCCCCATTGGGCTGGGTAAACTCCCCCCCCACACCCCTCCCAGGCGTCTTGGTTCTCCCCCCCCCATCCCATTGGGCTGTGGATCACAAGGCCCATCCTCCCCCGCCGCAGCTGGGGGCCAACCCATAATCCCCTGCCCAGGCGGGCTCATCCCACCTCCCTCCTTCCACGTGGGGTGGGACGACGATCTTGCCTTCCCTCCCCCCCTCCTTCAAAAATCGGACTACAGAGCCCATCACCCCAATTATTATTATTATTATTATTATTATTATTATTATTATTATTATTAAATACAATCCGACGGATAAACATCCGCTAAAGGCCGGCTAATCTCTCTCTTATTTTGCAGAATTTGCTGGCCGCGACGGTGCGAAAAAGGCAGCATGATGGAAAACACGGCCCTGGAAAGTTTGATCGAGATGGGCTTCCCGCAGAACCGAGCGTAGGTCTCCATCCCGGGGAAAAAATGTGGGGTTTGTGTGGGAGGGGACAACCCCGCCTTAACGGGTTCCGAAAATGCGCGCCTGTCGCGTGGGAGGTTTTTTTATTTATGAATTATTTCATTTTATTAAATTTCTATACCGCCCTTCTCCCGAAGGACTCAGGGCGGTGAACCGCCGGAAGCTAAAACACAGGAAATGCAAAATCTAAAATAAATGAAAACAAATCGAATAATTTAGGCTGAATTTTAAAATACCCCCATGATTAAACAGATTAAAAATTTATGTTTAAAATTTAAATTTAAAAGAGGTTTTGGGTTTACAAGGGAAGGAATACAGCTGCATTTTAACCGAAGCTTTTCTGGGCTGTGAGACGTGGAGGAAACGTGGGAAAAAACAACAACAACGGAGCAGTGCTTCTCTCTCAGCTTGGCGGTTTTCCTGCAGACGTCTCTTGACCCAGCTGGGTAACATCATCAGCGCTGAGGAAGGGAGAAGGGTTTGCTCCCTAGTCAGGGTTGACTAGGGTGTTCTTGGTGCTTGGTTACTGTTGTTTCTTGAGTTGTCAACTGACCACACTAAAGGCGAGCTACTCGTGGGTAAATAAAAAGTAAACCTCCCCATCCTTGTGGCACGGATGATGTTCCCTAGTTGGGTCATGAGACGTCTGCAAAAAAACCACCAAGCTCAGAGAGCACCAAGGACCCCACAGTAGTCCTCTTCCTCCTCCTCCCTTTTAGCACTGATGATGCTCCCTAGTTGGGTCAAGAAACGTCTCCAACCAAGCTCAGAGAGCATCAAGGGCCACAGTTCTCCTCCTCCTCCTCCCTTCTAGCACTGATGATGTTAGGCAGCTGGGTCATGAAACGTCTCCAAGAAAAAAACCAAGCTCAGAGAGCACCAAGGGCCCCACAGTTTTTCTCCTCCTCCTCCTCCTCCTCCTAGCACTGATGATGTTCTCTAGTTGGGTCATGAAATGTCTCCGAGAACACCCCCCCACACACACAGCTCAAGAGAGCACCGAGGACCCCCGCTTCCCCAGTTCAACCCCGAGCTACGATACTAAATCTGTTCCGTCCTCTTAAACTCCCATCGCGGCGTGAATTCTCCTTGTCCGTTTCTCTGTTCCTCCAGAAGGTGTCAGAGCAGTGGAATCGTCGTAATTCGGGAGAGGGCTGGAAAACGGGAGGGGAGGGGCGAAAACCCTTGGGTTTCCCCCCGGCGGGGGGGGGGGGCTCCTTACACACGGTCACTCATGCCCTCGTCACCTCCCGCCTGGACTATTGTAACGCTCTCTACATGGGGCTCCCCTTGAGGAGCACCCGGAGGCTCCAGCTGGCGCAGAGTGCGGCCGCGCGGGTGGTGACGGGAGCGACATGGCGCTCCCATGTAACGCCCCTCCTGCGCGAGCTGCACTGGCTCCCGGTGGTCTTCCGGGTGCGCTTCAAGGTCTTGGTTACCACCTTTAAAGCGCTCCATGGCTCAGGACCTGGGTACTTGCGGGACCGCCTACTACGACCAATAGCCCCCCACCGGCCGGTACGCTCTCATAGAGAGGGGCTCCTCCGGGTGCCGTCGGCCAAACAATGTCGACCGGCAGCCCCTAGGGGGAGAGCCTTCTCTATGGGGGCACCTACTATCTGGAACGAGCTCCCCCCGGAGATACGGATCTGCACACCTTCCGCCGCGCGCTTAAGACATTTTTATTTGGCCTAACTTTCTCCCTCTTTTTAAACAATTTTAATAATTTTAATCCTCAAAGTTTCAATTGGTTTTAAATTGATTGGGGTTTTAATGTGTCTGGGCCAAACTATTGAATTCGATTTTATTTCTGCTTTTTAAATTTTTTATGTATGTATTTGATTGTTGGCTGTTCACCGCCCTGAGTCTTTCGGGAGTAGGGCGGTATACAAATATGAAAAATAAATAAATAAATATAAATCAAATAAAAGTAAAGTAAGTAAAAGAATGCCATGTTTTGCTTTCCTCCCCCCCCCCTCCAGAGAGAAGGCGCTCGCTCTGACCGGCAATCAGGGTATCGAACAAGCCATGGATTGGTAGGTATGCTCTCCTATCTTCCCCACTTCTTTACGAAATCCTCCCCCCCCCTCTCCCTCCTCCCCTCCTCCCCTCCTGAACGGCCGTCGTTGTCGTCTCTCTTTTGGACCCAGGTTGGTGGAACATGAGAACGATCCCAATCTGAATGAACCCTTCGCCGCCCCTCAAGGCCCCGTTCCGGATGCCGAGGAATCCCCCAAAGGACCGACGCCGGATTCGGAGCAAGGGGGATCAGGTCAGAGAGCAGATCTTGGCGGGCGTGCCGGCGGAGTGCCCCACAGGTGGTCCTCGACTTAACGAACATTCCAAATTAACAGCGGCGCTAAGGGGGAAAAAAAAAAGCGACTTAGGAGCGTTTTTCACACTTAACGACCGTTGTGGCATCTCCGTTCACCCTTAACGACCGTTGCGGTCACGGGATCAGAATTCAGACGCTTGGCAGCTGACTCGCATGGATGACGGGGGTGGTGTGATCCCCCTTTTGCGAACCTTCGGACAGGCCGAGTCAACGGGGGAAGCCGAATTCACTTAACGACCGGGTGACTGATTTAACAAGTGCCATGGGTCACTTAACAACGGTGGCCAGAAAAGTCGCACAACGGGGCGAAATTCACTTTGACCGATGACTCGCTTAGCAACAAATCCCGGGCTCCGTGGTGGTCCTACGTTGAGGGCTACCTGTAGAGGGTTGCACATCCTTTGAGCATGACTCGGCAGTGGATTATGGTTTTCATTTGCCCGGTCCCTTGAAAAGGTGTAAACAAAGTTTCTTCCCGTAGGAGAGGTGGCTGAAGGAGAGACACAGCGTCCCCTGACGGAAGAGGAAAAGCAGGAACAGACGAAAAGGTTAGGCCTACTCTTCATCCCTTCCCTACTCTCCTCCCTCCCCTATTCTCCTCCCTTCCCTACTCTCCTTCATCCCCTACTCTCCTTCATCCCTCCCTCCCCTACTCTTCTTCCTCCCTCCCCTACTCTTCTTCCTCCCTTCCCTACTCTCCTTCATCCCCTACCCTTCATCCCTCCCTCCCTTACTCTTCTTCATCCCTCCCCTACTCTCCTCCCTTCCCTACTGTCCTTCATCCCTTCCCTACTCTCCTTCATCCCCTATTCTCCTCCCTTCCCTACTCTCCTTCATTCTTCCCTCCCCTACTCTTCTTCATCCCTTCCCTACCCTCTTCCCTTCCCTACTCTCCTTCATCCTTCCCTTCCCTACTCTCCTTCATCCCTCCCTCCCCTACTCTTCTTCATCCCTTCCCTACTCTCCTCCCTCCCCTATTCTCCATCCCTTCCCTACTCTCCTTCATCCCCTACCCTTCATCCCTTCCCTTCTATCCTCCCTCCCCTATTCTTCATCCCTTCCCTACTCTCCTCCCTCCCTTCCCTACTCTCCTCCCTCCCTTCCCTACTCTCCTCCCTCCCTTCCCTACTCTCCTCCCTCCCCTACTTTCCTCCCCTACTCTCCTTCATTCCTCCCTTCCCTGCTCCCCTACTCTCCTTCCTCCTTCCCTCCCGGGCTGAAGGGGCAGCTGTGCCTCCTAAGCGCCTCCAGCGGTTCCTTTCGCCCTCCCGTCCCCCGTCCCCCCCCCAGGATGATGGAGCTGATCTACCAGAAGCAGAAGGAGCGCGAAGAGCGGGAGAAGCGGGAGACGATCGAGCGGGAGAAGCAGCGCCGGAAACAAGGGCAGGAGCTGCTGCTCATCCGCCAGAAGCTGCAGGAGGACGAGATGAAGAAGCTGGCCGAGGAGAGGCGGAGGGAGAAGCTGGAGGAGAAGCTGGCCAAGTGAGGGACCCTCTGTCTGTGTGTGTGCGTGTGCGTGTGCGCGTGTGCGTGTAGGAATCCAGGGGGGAAATTGCATTTCCGGCTGGGGCGGAGCAGCCCGGATTCCCTCTAAACCTGCCTCCTTCCGCCTTTACGACTTCAAGATGGCTGGACTTCCACTCCCAGAATTCCCCAGCTAAAGGGGCGGGGACTTCCGCTCGCTGTCTTGAGGAATTCTGGGAGTGGAAGTCCAGCCTCCTCAAAAGTGTCCAAACCCTGCTTAAAACAGGAGGATCTTGGACTACATCTCCCAGCATCCCCCGGGAACGGGATCCCCTATTCGGCAGGGGCTGCTGGGAAGCTTCATTCGGCTCCATCGAGGGCCTGTGGGGGGTAGGGGGGAGGGAGGGCTGAAGCATTGCATTCTGGGTAAAGGGAGTCTGTCGGTCTGCTTTTGTCCGCCACCATGTTCGTCACCCCCCAAACTGGAGTGAGGAAGGGGATCCTTCCACCATTAACCCCCCCTCCCTCCCTCCCTCCCTCCCCCCCCCCGGTTCCTTTTTTCAGGCAGCGAGTGCGGGAGAAGATTGAACGCGACAAGGCCGAGCGAGCCAAGAAGGTGAGAAAGTAAAAAGGGGTTTTAATTTTTATCATTTAGACTAAGGTTGCCCTTCGTGTTTTCTTTCTTCAGCCATCTTCTCTTCTCTCTTTCCTTCCTTCCTCTCGCAATCTTTCCTATCTCTCTTTTCTTCCCCCTTCCTTCCTTCTTCCTTCCTTCCCTCCCTCCCTCATCCTCTCCTCCTTTCTTCGTTCCTCTCTCAATCCTTCCTCCCTCTTTTTTTCCCCGTTCCTGTGTTCCTTCCTTCCCTCATCCTCTCCTCCTTCCTTTCCTCTTCCTTCCTTTCTCCCTCCCTCCCTTCCTTCTCCTCTTCCTTTCTTCTATCTTCTTTTCCTTTCTTTCCTTTTCTTTCCTTTTTTCTTTCCTTTCCTTTCCTTTCTTCTTTCCTTCCCTTCCCTTCCTTCTGTCTTCCTTTCCTTTCTTCTATCTTCTTTTCCTCTTTTCTTTTCTTTCCTTTTTCCTTTCCTTTCCTTTCTTCTTTCCTTCCCTTCCCTTCCTTCTATCTTCCTTTCCTTTCTTCTATCTTCTTTTCCTTTCTTTCCTTTTTTCTTTCCTTTCCTTTCCTTTCTCCTTTCCTTCCCTTCCCTTCCTTCTATCTTCCTTTCCTTTCTTCTATCTTCTTTTCCTTTCTTTCCTTTTCTTTCCTTTCCTTTCCTTTCCTTTCCTTTCTCCTTTCCTTCCCTTCCCTTCCCTTCTATCTTCCTTTCCTTTCTTCTATCTTCTTTTCCTTTCTTTCCTTTTCTTTCCTTTCCTTTCCTTTCTCCTTTCCTTCCCTTCCCTTCCTTCTATCTTCCTTTCCTTTCTTCTATCTTCTTTTCCTTTCTTTCCTTTTCTTTCCTTTCCTTTCCTTTCTCCTTTCCTTCCCTTCCCTTCCTTCTATCTTCCTTTCCTTTCTTCTATCTTCTTTTCCTTTCTTTCCTTTTCTTTCCTTTCCTTTCCTTTCTCCTTTCCTTCCCTTCCCTTCCCTTCTATCTTCCTTCCCTTCTTTCCTATCCTATCTTATCCTATCCCTCCCTCCCTCATCCTAGCTGGGGAATTCTGGGAGTTGAAGTCCACCCATCTCAAAGGTTACCGAGCACGAGAAACGCTGGTTTAATACGCATTGCACAGCTTGGCGGGCGACTTTTGCTCACCTTCCTGGTTTTTGCCCCCTAGTTCGGCTGCAGTAGCGCCACCCAGGCCTCCCCCCTGCCCGACCAGATGGAGCCCGTGCTAATCTCCTCCCCCAGCCAGGAGTTCCCCGTCAAGCGAGAATACGACCAGTGCAAGATTCAGGTAAGGCGCTAGTAAGTTTGACGGCGTGAAAAACCTCCTGCGTTGAACTCCTTTGGGTAGACCAGCTCTTAGTTGCGATGCAGTAAAATCTGGAATGGAGAACAAGGAAAAGCTGGCTTTTGTAAGTCCTCGACTTACAACCCTTCGCTTAGTGACTGTTTGAAGCTACAACGGCACCGGAAAAAATATTAAATATGGCTTGTTTCTCGCACGATGGTTGCAGCATCTCACCGTCACGTGATCCAAAAATTCAGTCACTTGGCAACTGACTTGTATTTACAATGGTTGCAGTCTCTCTTTTGCGACCTTCTGACCAGCTAAGTTAATGGGGAAGCCGGATTCGCTTAACGGCCGCATGACTAACTTAACAACTGCGGTGATTCCCTTAACAAGTGTCTGGCGAGGACGGTCGTAAAAAAAAGGGCTCAAAACTCACTTAACCACCCTCTCGCTTAGCAACAGAAACGTTGGCCTCAGTTTTGGTCGTTAAGTCGAGGACCACCTGTCAATGAGGATTTGATTTTGCTCCGGGCAGGTGAGACTCCTGGATGGCACCTCTCTGACTCACACCTTCAAAGCCAAGGAACAACTGGCAGCCGTGCGGCTGTACGTGGAGCTGAACCGCAAAGATGGCGGCGAAGATCCTTTTCACCTCCTGACGAGTTTCCCCCGGCGGGTTTTCACTGAGGAAGACATGGAAAAGCCCCTGCAGGAGTTGGGTGAGTTTGGGGGTCGAAGTGGAGCGGGGGGGGCCTCCAATGCTTTTGCCTCGTTCCTAAATGCCAGGAATCTCAAAGCATAACGATGTTTTAAGAGAGGCACGATTGAGAGCGTTGTAACAAAGTGCATCCCTGTCTAGCTTGGTGGCAGCAGTGCCTTAGATAGAAAGCCCCTACAGAGAGTGGTGAGGACAGTGGAGATCATAGAAAGCTTGTTTCCCTTTATTCGGGATACTGCTTATAAGAGCAATGTGCTTAGAGACTCCACACGCCCCACTTTACGGCCTCTTTCTGTTGCTCCCCTCTGGGAGGAGATTTCGAAGTATCTCTAGCACGACCACCCGATTCTGTAAGAGCTTTGTCCCCCTAGGCCAACCGTCTGGTAAACTCGCAAGATTCGTTTTTCTTGCCATAAACACGTATATACATCCGAACTAGACGGTTTCTGTGTGTCATATAATATATGTGGGTATATACATAATTTTGCATTTATTTATCTTGTCATATTTATGTAGTGTAAAATTGGAGGTTGTGACCCTTTAAGAGCTGTATGCAACAAGTTGTATGTCATTTTTAATATATGCCAATTAGTGTACATTCAAAGCAACAATAAAGTTATTATTCTATTCTCTGTTCTATTCTAATTCTATAAATTCTTTCTATTCTTATTCTATTCTATTTCTATTTTAATTCTATTTCTATTCTATTAATTCTATTTCTATTCTTCTATTATTTATATTATAAGAATAGAATAAATACCGTGTTTCCCCAAAAATAAGACCCCGTCTTATATATTTTTTTTGAACCCTCAAAAGCGCGATTGGGCTGCTTATCAGGAGATGTCTTATTTGGGAGAAAATAGGGTACTAATAATATTACCCTATTCCATTATTCTATTTCTATTCGTATTTTATTTCTATTTCTTCTTCTATTCCTATTCTATTAATTCTTTCTATTCTTATTCTTCTCTTTCTATTTTAATTCTATTTTCTCCCTCTTTTATAAAATAATTTCTAATTTTTAATATTTTTTTAGTATTTTATATATTCAAATTTTAAAATTGGTTTTAAATTGATTGGGGTTTTAATTTGTCTGGGCCAAAACTATTTAATTTGATTTTAATTCTGCTTTTATGGATTTTATTGTTGGCTGTTCACCGCCCTGAGTCCTTCGGGAGTAGGGCGGTATAGAAATCAAATCAAATAAATAAAAAATAAATTTCTCTTATTCTATTAATTCTATTTCTATTCTTATTTTATTTATATTATTATAAGAATGCAACGTTTTCCCGAAAATAAGACCCTCTTATATTTTTTTGAACCCTGAAATAAGCGCGTGGGCTTTTTGCCATGTCCTCAAAAGCCCAATTGGGCTTATTATCAGGGGATAATGTCTTATTTTGGGGGGGAAACGGTATTAGTAATATTATTCTATTTCATTCTTTTTCTATTCGTATTTTATTTCTATTTCTTCTTCTATTCCTATTCTATTAATTCTTTCTATTCTTATTCTTCTATTTCTATTTTAATTCTAATTCTATTATTCTATTAATTCTATTTCTATTCTTATATTCTTCTACTCTATTCATTATTTATTCTATTCTGAGCAAGCCTGGATTCGCAACCTCCTCAGCATTCCATCCGAGGAGGGGGATTCTGGGAATTAAAGTCCATCGAAACGTTGCCGAGGTTGAGAAATTCTGCTTTCTTCTGTTCATTTTTTTTCTCTCTCTCTCTCTCCACCCCCCCTTTCCCCCACTCTCTTTCTCCAGGCTTGGTGCCTTCCGCTGTGTTGATAGTGGCCAAGAAGGGGAACAGCTGAGTGGCGCTCTCTTCGCTTGTGGACGGTCGGTTGTGGCTTTCCCTCCTTCGCGCCGGTTGTTGGAGGCTGACCTAGCCCTGTAGTTACTGGGTGCCACCCTAGCGCACCAGCTCCCCCCTCCTTCCCTCCCCCCAGAGACTCTGAAACAGCAGCCCTTTAACCCAGGGGTACCAAAACAAGACATTATGTGGGTAGAAGAATTGGAGAGGAGCCAGCGTTTGCAACTGGATACCCCCCCAAGGCCAGCCCCGAATAAAACCTCTTCACCCTGGTGTGCCATTTGTGGTTTTATTTCTCGCCGGAGGAAACGAGCGCAGGATCTGGTCAGCCCAGCGGGACAGTCCCTCCCTCCAGCAATCCAGCATTGTGAGCAGGGTGGATAAAAATCAATGATTTTTTTAAAAAAAAAATAAAAAAAATCAGATTTTTTTAAAATTTAAATCGGATTTTTTTTAATAAAAAACTTGGGGTAAAAATCTATCGTAAGATAGCTTTCTATTTAAGATACATAATTTAGTTTATTCAGCATGAAATGGAGCTTAGTTATGTAGCAGGAGGCTGTCTATTCTGCAACACTGGGACTATCGGTGAGTCAACAGTGGGTCAAAGGAGTAGCAGAGATGACAGTTGCTCTTTAAAAATTATGATTTAAATCGAGTTGATTTAAATCAAGCCTTTTTACTAGTCATTTAAATCATGATTTAAATCGTGATTTAAATCAACTCGATTTAAATCAAATCCACCCTGATTGTGAGGTAGACTGCCTCGGAAGGAGGAGACTGGATTGTAACTGAAAATGTGCAGAATCCGGATGTGCCCAAATGATGTTTTCCCGTAACACACAATATCCCCAGGGAGCTGAAATCGCAAATTATCCACCGGGGAAATTTGGGGTTCAAAGCTAGCGACCGTGTTTTTTTTAAGTGAGGATCAGTTTTACGGGACCGAGCAAGGAGAGAAAAGAGACAGAAAACACACACAGCAAAATTAAGAGGGATTTTTTTTCTCTCCCCCCTTCACCCAACAAGCATGATTTTAACTACAACGTAATTGGCAAGGTAGCTTATTCCGTTTACCGAACGCAATCAGGTCCACGTTCCTTACTTAAGAGACGATCGTCCCGAAGTGTCGTCATCGTAACTGACTTGTTTTGACACGGGGGAAAAAAACTCGCGCAACGACAGCAGCCATTTTGCGCGGAAGATCGAAAGCCGCAACGTTTCTGTCCTGTCTTAATGGATCGCAGGACATTCCCCCAATCTTCAAAATGAAAGATTTCATCCCCCCCATTCCTGCCGCACTCTGGGTTGCCTCCAGGTAGAACTTGGGAAGCCTCCGCCGATGAAGGACGTCTTCCCCGTCCTACTTCGGCTGGACGGGATCCAGGATGACTACGATCGCCCCCGAGTAAAGGCCTGGAAAGAGACAAAAAAATCGTAGTTGGCAAAGGCACAACCACGTTCCTTTGTGTGAGACTGCAGAAGGCAAAAAGAATCAAATGAATAAAATAGAAGAATTAGAATTAGAATGACTTCTATACCGCTTCACAGTGCTTTTACAGCCCTCTCTAAGCAATTTACACAGTCAGCCTCTTGCCCCCCCCAACCGGGTCCTCATTTTAATGACCTCAGAAGGACGGAAGACTGAGTCAACCTTGAGCTGGTCAGGATCGAACTTCCTGGCTGTGGGCAGAGTTAGCTTGCAATGCTGCATTCTAACAGGAAGGAAGAGAGCAAGAGACTTCACAGTACTTTACAGCCCTCTAAACGGTTTACAGAGTCAGCCTCTTGCCCTCCAACAATCTGGGTCCTCATTTTACCGACCTCGGAAGGCTGAGTTAACCTTGAGGCTGGTGAGATTCGAACCGCCAAATTGCAGGGAGCTGGCAGTCAGCAGAAATAGCCTGCAGGACTGCATTCTTAACCACTGCGCCACCGCAGCTCCTATAGAAATAATAAAGACTAGAATGGAATAGAATAGAAATAAAGACTAGAATGGAATGGAATAGAATAGAATGAATAGAATAAGAATAGAATTCCAAAAATGGAGGATTATTAGGGCTGCCCAGAGTGGCTTGATAGTACAAATCCAATCCAATAATATATTAATAAATATAGATAATATATTTGAAACTATTACAGGCCAGGTTGAATAGTGGCGAAGGTACCAAGCTGGAAATCAGAAAACCAGTTCTAGTCCCAGTTTAGGCATGAAAGCCAATTGGGTGACTGGGCCAGAGGTGAAATCCAGCTGGTTCTGACATGTTCTGGAGAACCGGTAGCGGAAATTTTGAGTAGTTCGGAGAACCGGCAAATACCACCTCTGGCTGGTCCTTCCCCTGCCACGCCCACATAACCGGTAGTAAAAAAATTTGAATTTCACCACTGGACTGGGCCAATCACCAGGAGACTGTGAGTTCTAGTTCCACCTTAGCTTTGAAAGCCAGCTGCATGATTCTGTACCAAACACTAGGAGACGGCAAGTTCTAGTCCTGCACCTTGGTCCAGAAAGCCGGCTGGGTGATTTATGGGCCGATCCCCCAGGAGCTGGTGAATTCTAGTGCCATTTTAGAGCCTTGATAGTACAGTGGTTTAGTGCACCCTGTCATTAACACAGCTGCCTGCAATTTCTGCTGGTTCGAATCTCGCCAAGGCTCAAGGTTGACTCAGCCTTCCATCCTTTCTAAGGTGGGTAAATTGAGGACCCAGTTTGTGGGGGCAATAAGCTGACTTTGTATAAATATACAAAAGGATGAAGGCTATTGCTGAGCGCATTGTAAGCCGCCCTGAGTCTTCGGAGAAGGGCAACATATATATATAAATCAAATTAAAAAAAAAAAAAATAGGCATGGAAAAAAACATCTGGGTGATTTGGGGAAAATCCTTCCCTCTCGGCCCAGCCCCACCTCGCAGGGTTGTTATGAAGGCCAAAGAGCAGGAGAAAGAAGCGTGAGGTACGTTTGACACCTGGAGTCCCTTATATGCAGCTGTCCTTGGAGGAACATCTGACGGCTGTAACCAGGGGGACCTTTTGTCAGGTTCGCCTGATTCGCCAGTTGCGGCCCTTTCTTGATCGGGATTCCCTGTGCACAGTCACTCATGCCCTCGTCACCTCTCGCCTTGACTACTGCAACGCTCTCTACATGGGGCTCCCCTTGAGGAGCACCCGGAGGCTCCAGCTGGTCCAGAACGCAGCAGCGCGGGTAGTGACGGGAGCAGCATGGCGCTCCCATGTAACACCGCTCCTGCGCGAGCTGCACTGGCTCCCAGTTGTCTTCCGGGTGCGCTTCAAGGTGTTGGTTATCACCTTTAAAGCGCTCCATGGCATAGGGCCTAGCTATCTCCGAGACCGCCTGCTGCTACCGACGACCTCCCAGCGACCCGTGCGCTCCCACAGAGAGGGCCTCCTCGGGGTGCCATCAGCCAAACAATGCAGGCTGGTGACCCCCAGGGGGAGGGCTTTCTCTGTGGGGGCACCTACCCTCTGGAATCAGTTGCCCCCAGAGATAAGGAGAATCCAAGACCTCAGTGCCTTCCGTCGCGCCCTTAAAACCCATTTATTTAAACAAGCCGGGCTGGCTTAAGATGAAATTTTTAACTGTTTTTAAATGTTTTAAACGTTTTTAATTGGTAAATGAGTTTTAATTGGGCCAAATTTATATATCTTTTAATTGTTTTTAATATTTGTTCTGCATGTTTTTTTAATCTGGCTGTACACCGCCCTGAGTCCTTAGGGAGAAGGGCGGTATAGAAATCCAATATAAAATAAAATAAAATAAAATAAAATAAAGTAATAAAGCAGGGATAAAAAAAACAAAAAAACAAAATCAAAACCAATAAATAACAATAGCTTGGTATTTCTGAATGCAGTCTCATTTAAAGGCGCTAGTCCTCGTGATTCAGACACTTAGGCTCTCTGATACGACGCATTTTCCTATTCACAGCACTAAGAAAATCGATATAAATCAATAAAATTATTTTTTTTAAAAAACCCATTTATTTTTTTTTAAAAAAACCCATTAATTTTTTTTAAAAAAAACCCATTATTATTTTTTTTAAAAAAACCATTAATTTAAAAAAAAAAAACCATTCTTTTAATACATTCTTGCTCAGGATTAAGGTGGGGAAATGCTGCCCCCCGGTGGCCCAGCTGCGTCATTGCACCCCCCCGAAAAACTCCCAAGCGCGCGCGGGGGGAGGAAAAAATGACCTCCACTCTGCAAGGCACATGCAATACACGTGTCTAACCTTGCACGTCCGAATCTACACCCCTCCCCCCCACTGGGAAATACCCCTCCCCCCCCCTTTACCGATGGCGAAAACTATCCGAAAGATGTCATAGAGGTTCCCGGGCCTGGAACCTCTCAAGGACTGGCGGGTTCCCAGGTGGACCCAGAGCCCCGCGGCCAACAACCCGCTGCCGGCCACCATTCGGCAGCTGAAGCAGGACCAGAAGGAGGACTTTTTGGGGGGCGCCGCGGAAGACCCCGCCACCACGCCGCCTCCGGAGGGCTGGGTCGCCATCTTCCCGCCGAGAAAAGATGGCCGCCTCCGCGCCGGAAGCCGCTCTTGCCGGGCCGCCGGAAGCGCGGAAAGGTCGTCATCGAGGGGAAAAGGGAAGGGAAAAAAAAAAGAGACGTCCGACTTCTATAAACGTCCGGCGGGGGCACCAAGGTTCCTTATGCTTAGGTTCCGCTTGGGGGGGAAATAAAAGAGGAAACAAAACGAGGCCGTTTTGCAATATTTTGTGTTATTTTCCTTGGATGATAAAAAAAAATAATCTTTAAATTCCTGAGCTGCGTTTCTTTCTCACCAATGATCAATGGCTGCATCTTCCAGATTTCATTGGTCTTTTGTTCTAAATCTACCTCCTAAAATATGGGCTTCTTAAAAGTTCCCCCGAGGTGAAATCATCTCTTTATTTTTTCATCTTTTGCTTCCTTTCCCCCATGTTCTTTCCTTTCCTTTTTCCCCCCTGCTCCTTCCTTCCTTCTCTCCTTTTCCTTTCCTTCCTTCTCTCCCTTTTCCTTTTCTTCCTTCTCTCCCTTTCTCCCATCTTTTCCTTCCTTTCTTCCTCTCCCTTTTCCTTTTCCTCCTTGCTCCTTTCTTCTCTCCCTCTTTTCCTTTCCTTCCTTCTCTCCCTTTCTCCCATGTTTTCCTTCCTTTCTTCCTCTTTTTTCTTCCTTGCTCCTTCCTTCCTTTTTTCTTCCTTGCTCCTTCCTTCCTTCTCTTTTCCTTTCCTTCCTTCTCTCCCTTTCTCCCATCTTTTCCTTCC